GAACCAGAGTGGACTTTCATTGTAAACAGGTACGCTGGATGCCAAGTGCCAAATACAACAATGGAAGACAGGTAACATGGTGCAATAATTTTCTACAATCAATAACACCATAAATTCACTAGTCAACAGCTTTGCGAGCCAACTCCCACTCAACCCTACATGAAAGTGATTGACTAGTTTGGATGTCTTCTCTTCTTTCTTCTTTCGTGTCTCTGGGGAAGAATTTTCACTGATTCCTTTGATGATATGTGTGGAGCACCTACTATGAGCTGCACATTCTTTGGTACTGAAGGTAATGATAATAATGGCTACTATTAGTTGATTATTTACTAAGAGCCAGGTACTTTGTACATGCTTTCCGTATACATCATCTCATTTTTGTCTTCACAGCCCCCTAAGAAGTAAGTACTATCATTTACCCTGCTGGATGATGGGGAAATGAGAGTTGAACTATCCTACTCAAACAGTAGAATCGGGTTTCAGACTGCCAATTGCAGAGTCCTGCCTCTTGAGAACTACATTATTGCCTCAGGCTAATGGTGGCTGCCAGTATTTCTCCCTGGTCCTCTGCTCTATCCGAGGAGCTACTGAATATGATTAAGACAAGGGACAAGCCTCCACCCCTCCAACGTTGTCTCAGATTCTCCTGATGAGAAATGCTTTGTCTGTGGAGGGGTGTCATTTGTTTTATCTGCTCAGCTAAGGCAGGAATTGCCTCCCTGATATCCACTGCTTGGGGGGGCTGGTGGTGTTAGCCCTTCCTGTGACAGCCTATTCTAGGCAGCTCTAAGAGCGAGAAACTTTCTGATTATGTTGATCCAGAGCCTTCCACCAAGCATTCTAGTTTTTATCCACGTTGTTTGAGAAGTCCTTTTGACACAGTCTTTCTTTAAGCTCCCTTTAAAGCCCTAGAATTTGGGTTTTCTATTGTGATCTATTTTTTAAAAATTATGGTTAAATACAATTTCCTATCTTACCCATTTAACCAAAAATATGGTTAAATACAATTTCCTATCTTACCCATTTTAAAATGTACAGTTCAGTGGTACTAAATTCATTCATTATGTTGTGCAACCATCACCACGATCCATCTCCAGAACTCTTTCATCTTGTAAAACTGAAACGCTATACTCATTAAACAATAACTCCCTATTCTCCCCTGCTCCTAGTCCCTGGCAATCCACCATTCTACTTTCTGCCTCTATGATTTTGATTACTCTAAGTACCTTATATATGTTGAATCATATGGTATTTGCCTTTTTGTGATAGGCTGTTTCACTTAATATAATGTCCTCAAGGTACATCCATGTTGTAGCATACTGCAGAATCTCCTTCCTTTTTAAGGCTGAATAATATTCCATTGTATGTACATACCATATTTGGTTTGTCCAAATTTGGCTTGGACCTTTGGGTTACTTCCACATTTTAGTTATTATGAGTAATACTGTTATGAACATGAACATACAAATAATTCTTTGAGACCTTGCTTTCAATTCTTTTGGGTATAGGACCCAGAAATGGAATTGATGGATCATATAGTAATTTTATTTTGAATGTTTTGAGGAATTGCCATGTTGTTTTCACAGTGGCTGCACCAGTTACATCCCACCAATAGGATTCTAATTTCTCCACACCCTTATCAGTGCTGGTTGTTCGCTGTTATTTATTTATGTTTTTATAGTAGCCATCATAATGAGAATGAAGTGGAATTTGACTGTAGTTTTGATTTGCATTTCCCTAACAATTAGTGATGTGGAGCATTTTTTTCATATGCTTATTGGCCATTGTATGTCTTCTTTGGAGAGATGTCTATTCAAGTCCTTTGTCTATATTTGAATCAGGTTCTTTATTTGTTATTGAGGTCTAGGAGTCCTCTATATATTCTAAATATTAATATCTCATAAGATATGTTATTTGCAAATATTTTCTCCCATTCTGGTTGCTGCACTTTTACTCTGTTGATAGTGTCTTCTGAGGCAGAATTTTGAAACTTTTATGAAGTCCACTTTGTCTATTTTTTCTTTTGATGCCTATGGCTTTGGTGTCACATTCAAGAAATCAGTACCAAATCCAATGTCATAAAGTTTTATTTCGTGTCTTCTTCCAACAGTTTTATTGTTTTAAGTCTTAAATTTAGGTCTTTTTTTCCAATTTGAGATAATTTTTGTATACGGTATTAGGTAAGAGTCCAACTTCATTCTTTTGCATGTGGATATTCAGTTTTCCCAGTGCTATTCATTGAAAAGATTGGCTGTCCTTTCCCCAGTAAATGGTCTTGGCACCCTTGTCAAAAATCATTTGACAACACATATGAGGGCTTATTTCCGGGCTCTTGATTCTATTCTATCAGTTTACATGTCTGTCTTTATGTTGGTACCATATTGTTTTGATTATTATAGGCTTGTAGAAAGTTTTGAAATTAGGAAGTGTAAATTCCCGAGTTTTGTTCTCTTTGAGGTTGTTTTGGCCATTTGGGGTCCCTATGACTTTTAGGATAAGTTTGTTCTGTTTTTGCAAAAAGTGTCATTGAGATTTTGATAGGAATTGCATTGAATCTATAGGTCACTTTGGGTAGCTGCAACATTATAACAATACTAAATCTTCCAATCTGTGAATATGGGGTGTGTTTTCATTTATTTATATTTTCTTTAATTTCTTTCATCCATGTTTTCTAGTTTTCATTATATGTGTCTTTTACTTCCTTGGTTAAGTTAATCCCTAAGTATCTTATGTCATTGTTTTTTAATGTTATTGTTTTTTGTAATTGTCTTTTCAGATTTTTCATTGTTAGTGTATAGAAATACAACTGATTATTGTGTATTGACTTTGTACCCTGCTACTTTGCCGAATTCATTTATTAGTAAAAACAGTTTTTTGTCTTAAGGATTTTCTATATATAAGCTCCTATCATTTTAAAAAAGTCTTTAACTGAAAGTTTTTTTGAGGTAACTTTGATCATTCCTTACAATTCTTGTAAGTATTTTAAAAACAAACCAGAAATCAGGGGTAGGGGAGAAGCATGAGCAAACAGAAACTCCATATCTACTTCTAGATTTGATATATTCCATGAATTATACAACAAATCAACATATATTTTGAGGATATAAAACCCAAATCACATTTTTTTTTCAGCATCTGAGACAACATTATAAGGAGGGACAAAGGTGGAAGTGTTTATATGTGTGAGTGTGTTTAAGCCTGAAAGAGCTACACAAACATGTTTATTTTCTTCAAGTCGACACACCCTCCCCCAGGAGACTTCTAACTGACAAAGGGGTGCCTTTGAGGCCGAGAAGAAAAGCCAAACAGAAGGGCTCCATACGGATTTCTGAGTTTTAATAGAGAGGCATGCAATCTTGAAGGCCAGATGGGATACTAATGTGAAAAAAATTCAATAATGACATCAACAGAAATTGCTGTGGGAAAGGTCCTAATCCAGCTCATAGCTAATTATGATGCTCATGAAGCTGTTGAATCTGCTGTCCAAATCAGAATAATATGTGCTAAGCCTAAACATTTCAGGGGGAACATATTACCTCTCTTAAGTTAATCATACATCTTTCAGGGGCCAGAATTTAGAGGTTCATTCAACAGAGTTTGTTGATGCCCAGAACGTGCTGGATGCACATCTCAGTGCTGGAGATCTGGCAGTGAACAAAGCCCCTGGTGCATGGAATGTTCATTTAACTGGGGGAGATAGACAATTGTCATATAAACCTGTACTATGTCAGGAGGGACAGTACCCACCCATGAGAGGGATGGTAAGGGATGAGGTGATATATTTGTTAATTAGTAGGAGGGGCCTCTATGATGAGCTGATCTGTGGGCAAAGACTGAATGAAGTGAGGAGAGGAAGAACCGGGGCAGGAGCATCCTAGATTCCTTTCCAAGTCACACAGTAGCTGTTATACAAGTTGAACATAACAGGTGCTTCTAAATAGCAATTTATCAACTTAGTGATCCTCTGAGTTTGCTGTCTTACAATGATTGAAAGGACTAAAAGAAGCAGAATCTGCCGAGTTTACTGCATTGTCTGGTCTATGGTTCTCAACTGGAGTTGATTTTGCCTGCCAGGGGACATCTGGCAATGTCTGAAGACATTCTGATTATCAAAGCCTGGGAGGAGGGAGAAGGTACTATGGCCATGTCCTGTGTAAACGCCAAAGATGCAACTAAACATCTATAGTGCACTGAATAACTCCATACAGCAAATAATGAATGGGCCCCAAATGTCAGCAGTGTCACCACTGAGAAACCTTGATTTGGCCTCCAGAAAGGCTGCCAGACCTCTGATGAGAGTGGAGGGACCAGGAAGGAGAAGTTCTTTCGAACAGCCCCATCAAGACATCTGGACGTCTGCAAACAGAGTAGATCCAAGGCCTCTGGAGTAACTTTGGGCGTCTGCTCCCAGCTTGTTGACAGACTTAGTCAAATGGTTTCAAAGCCACAAGGGGATTTTTTAATCAACATTAAGTAAAAATTTCCTGTGTGTCTTGTGGTATAAGACAAGTAAGGATGCAAGATGTGGTCCCTGCCATCAAAGTCTTTATAGCTTAGGGGAAAAAAAAGGTATGAAGACAAACACTTACAATGTGACAAGGGCCACAAAGGGGTAGAAATCAAATGATGCAAGGGAAGGGAGTGATGACTTTTGTCGGAGTGACCAAACAGGTTTAACATAGGAGGTATCATTTGAACTGGGCTTTGACAGTGAGAAGGCTTTAAACAAATAGGGAAGTGGAGGATATGTTAGACAGAGGGCGAGATGTGAAAACAGGTAAAAAGGTAGGGAATAATAATATTAACAGCAACTGCCACCTAGTAAATCCTCTCTATATGATAGGTGTGGTGCCAAGCACTTTATCATGACACACAATTGTAGTCTACACTGAAAACAGATAGATGTGTGAGAAGCAGCTGAAACCTAGCATGACCAAAGTTACTTGAATTTCTATCTTATTCATTTCAAAATGAATGAAGCAAAATGAATGAAGCATTACCTGGGGTGAGTTGCATAAATACCGAAGAAGTTCACCAATATACTGAATGACAGTGACATTATATTTTCTGCAGTCATCCCAAAACTGGCTGGCTGAAAATTTGTTCCGCAAAACAAGAGTAGCACCTACAGAGAAGTGTATATAAAGTGTTAATAAAGAGATGCTACAAAAAACTCCCTGGTTATATTTGTCATTTTTGAAAGGTAGAACTTTAAATGTGAATTATATTCACAAACAAGTTTTGAGTATCAATTAGATTCAATACAAAAATGAATAAGACATGGTTTAGGATAAAACCAGGCTTTAACCAGGATAAAAACAGAGGCTTTCAATCTAGTGAGGGAAAAGACACAAACATCTTTCTAATAAAAGTCAGTGTGCAATAAATAAGAGTTTCAAATGAATCTCTAAGGGAATGTGAACATGAGTGTGTGTGTGTGTGTGTGTGTGTGTGTGTGTGTGTGTGTGTGTATGTATTAATTCTGCTTGGGGGCAAGGGCTGAGAAAGGCATATTTTGGAAGAGGTAGATCTGAATTGTGTCTTGAGCAATGAATATGAATAAAGGTAAGAGAATTCCAGGCAGAGGAAACAGTATGAAACAAAAAGATAGGACAGTCCAGAAGGCTTGGAAGATAGCCAAGACTCAGTTGGCCTGTAACTGGAGTGGTAAACAGGGGGTGGCTCATGGGAGATGAGCCTAGAGAAGCAGCCAGGGGTGCCATCATGAAGAACTTGGAAGTGCCAGGTGGAGGAGTCAGACTTAACTTTGCAGGCAATGGAGAGCCAAGGTCTTGAACAAGCAGGAAATCTATTCTTTGATGGGTGAGGTAGACATAATAATGGTTCCCAAAGATGTCCATGTTCTAATCCATACAACCTGTGAACATTCTACCTTACATGGCAAAAAGAACTGTGTAGATATGATTAAGTTAAGGATTCTGAGATGGGAAGATCATCCTGGATAACCTGGGTGGGCCCAAGGTAATCATAAATGGCCTTCTAACAGGAAGGCAGGCAGGTCAAGGGCAGAAGGGGATGGATGCAGAAACAAAAGGCTGGAGGAATGTATTGTGAAGACAGCAAAAGTGGCCACAAGCCAAAGAATGCAGGCAGCTTCTAGAAGCTGGAAAAAGCAAGTAAATGGACTCTTTCCTAGAACTTCCAAAAGGGATACAGCTCTGTAGACACCTGGATTATAGGACTTCTGACTTTCAAAACAGAGAAAAAAATTATGTTGTTTTCAAGCCACTAAGTTTGTGGTAATTTGTTATAATAGCAATAGGGAAAGATGGGTAAAAAAATATATATCAATGTGAAACTATATCATATTACAATGGGTAAAAATAATATATATCACACCCAACCAAATTATAGTCATAAGATGTAGTAAAGTGAAATAAAAACATCTCAGAAATACTTTTTCATGCTCTTAGTTTAGCTTTACTCCTAAATATACAAGAGTGTGATGTTTTAGAAGAGGAAAAGATTTTTTAAATATGATTTTTTCTTCCTTAGAATGTATCTTTGGTGCTTAAGCAAATGTGTGAGCAGTGAATTAGTCCCTTTGGGAGCCTCAGAGTTCCCCAGTTCTTGAAGAGCCCAGCTATATGATCAGGCCCAGTCAGTTGTTCCTGGCTGATGTGGAGGCTGGTGCTGAGGCTGGGGTAAGTATTTTACAGCTGATCAATAAGTTGATGAGGGAAAAAGATAGAGGCTTGGGCCATCATGCATGCATTTATATATGTATGTGGATATATGTTATTATATATACATATATGAGTATTTAAAAGGAAATGCCGCACGGGGGAAAAATTAAGTTGTTTTTTTTACTTAGAGAGTTAGAGATGGCTTTCTGGAAGAGGTGGACATTGGACTGAATCTTAATGTATACAAGTGGCATAAAGCCTACTGAAAGGAAAAAAATGGCAACTCTAATTTGAATGGCAACATTTCAGAAAGAAAGAGAAGAGATGGAAAGCAAGGTATTCTGACCAGAGCTGAGGAGTTGCGCAAGGGGGGAAGAACAAAGTAGGATGGGGACGGCTAAGGGAGAAGTTTACATCAGATGCAGATGGAGATCCACATGCAGATTTCGGAAGACATAAATGACAGAGGGGAATTATTTATGGAACTTAAGAATCAAGTGTCTTAACTTGGATAAAAATGTTTTAAAGAAGTTTCCTCCTTGATATCTTGAACATCTGTAGCATTATTTATCAGACAAGCAGGCACGAGGAAATAGAAATGATTCTAGATACTTGCTGGTGATACGTGAGCCAAATAGCTTTGCTGTTAACATTGAATTAAACGCTGTCCCTGGCAGACAGGAAAGTAGGCAAATTTTGTATTACTTTCCCTGTTGAGCACATATGAATGTGTACTGGACTCCAGTGCCTTGTTGAGAGAAAAGTCTTACCAGTCATGATACATCCATGGAGGCCGATCATAAGCGCAGCACTGTGGTACAAGGGCAGGGTGGTATAGATGACATCATCTTTCCTAACTTTGCTTGCAGTGGCAAGGCTAGCTCCATACCATAGGCGATAGTGATTGATCTTGGCAGCTTTCGGGAGACCTTTGCAAAGATACAAGAGAAGGCATGCGTGAGTCAGGATGGAATCATTCACAGACCAGTGGTCTGGAAGAGAGATCTGGCTTAGGCAAATCCATCATCCAGTGGTTAGAGAATGCAGAGGAGAGGGCCATGACTGGTTACATCAAGAGCCAGTAAATTTCTTCTGTAAAAGACCAGATAGTCAATGTTTTAGGCTTTGTAGGGTCATACAGCCTCTGTTAAAACTACTCAACTCTACTATTATAGCCAATAGCAGCCAACCACAGAAAGGAATGAATGCGGTTGTGTTCTGATAAAGCTCTATTTACAAAATCAGGTTGGGAGGGGCTGTATTTGGCACACAGACCATAGCTTGTTGACACCTGAGTTAGATGTAATTAGAAGAAAAAGGCATGAATGTCTATCAAATTTTTGTTTTGTGCCTACCACCTTGTAAGGTATTTTCAAATTTCGTTTAGTTCTCATAATTAACAAGGTAAGTAAAATTATATTCTTTAATCCACAGATGAGAAGGCTGAGATTCAGAGACATTAAATAGCTTATTCCATTCCCATCACTTTCCTTCATAATCACTTTTATGCATTCTTTAAGTATTGTTCTAGAATTTCTTTATATAAATATAAGCAAATATGAAGAGTTGCTTATTTGTTCTTGCCCTTTCTCCACCCAGGGGCACCTGGGTGGGTCAGTCAGCTAAATGTCCAACTCTTGATTTTGGCTCAGGTCTTGATCTCACAGTTTGTAAGTTTGAGCCCCGCCTCTGGCTCTGCGCTGACAGCACAGAGCTTGCTTGGAATTCTCTCTTTCCTGGGGTGCCTGGGTGGCTCAGTCTGTTGAGTGTCCGACCTCAGCTCAGGTCACGATTTAGCGGTCTGTGAGTTCGAGCCCCGCATCGGGCTCTGGGCTGATGACTCAGAGCCTGGAGCCTGCTTCCGATTCTGTGTCTCCCTCTCTGTCTGTGCCTCCCCCGTTCATGCTCTGTCTCTCTCTGTCTCAAAAATAAATAAATGTTAACAAAAAGAAATTATAAAAAAAAAAAAAAAAAATTAAAAAAAAAAAAAAGGAATTCTCTTTTTCCTTCCCCCTCTGACTCTCCCTACTTTCTCTGTCTCTCTCAAAGTAAATAACCTTAAAAAATTCACACCTTTCTGCACTTTCTCCCCCTTCTACTTAGCAATGTATGGTAGAAAACTGTCCATATTTATACAAAGAAATTTCCCTTACTTATTTATTCATTCATTTATTCTTCCCCTCTCTCCCTCCCTCCCTCTCTCTCAGTTGCATCAAGTCCTTTGTATGTTGCATTGCATTATAATTTATTTAACTATTTGGCTATTTCAAATGATGCTGTAGTGAATAGCCTGGTCCACATGGTAGTTTGCAGTATGAACGATGCTGTATTTGTAGGATAAACTTGCTGAAGTGAGATTGCAGGGTCAAAAGATAAACATCTTTTGTCATTTTGATAGGTATTGCCACATTGAGAGTTATGGGGGCTGTCCCCATTCACTCTCCCACCAGCAATATCTGGGTGTACCTGTTCCTCATAGCCCTGCCTAGGTATGCTCTCAAATGTTGGAATTTTTGCCAGTCTGAAAGGTGAAAAATGGTATCTCAGTGTAGTTTCGGTATATTTGCAATTTCTTACATGTAATTTATGTCACTTTTTTGGTAAGACTGTATTAAAAGGATATATTTATATTGTACCCAGGGAAGGGTGCCTGGGTGGTTCAGTCAGTTAAGTGTCCGACTTCCACTCGCAGTTCGTGAGTTCAAGCCCTGTGACGGGCTCTGTGCTGACAGCTCAGAGCCTGGAGCCTACTTCGGATTTTGTGTCTCCCTCTCTCTCTGCCCCTCCCCCGCTCACAGTCTGCCTGTCTCTCTCAAAAGTGAATAAACATTAAAAAAAATTATGTTGCTTCCCAGGGGAAGTCAGTTTAGTGGGGGGAGGGCACAAAGCCATTACTAAGGAGCTGGGGCTAGAGGTTAAGACCTGAGTGGGTAAATGGACGTTGTGAACAGGAAGATAGTTCTCTGCAGACTCAGACCCTTCCATATTTGATGGTGCCTTTGATCGGTATTGCCTAAGAAACAGCCATTCATTATAAGGCAAAGCAGTATGTCCAGCACACTACCATAATTGTAAACACAATTCAAAATTCATTTTCTTTGACAGAGGGCCAGTGGCATTGTGTCAGTATCAATGGCCCATTCTACACTAATACGAAGACATAGAAGAAGGCATCAATAAATCAACTGTATCCATGGAAAAGAATTGTCTGGATAGTAAAAGCTCTATAGTATATTTTTAAAAATGAAATATATAGCCTTTGCTGCTTTGAAGTACTTTCAAAAATTTCCTAATTTAAGATTTTGTGTTAGTGAAGAAATACGAATGTTTGGTGGGTATTATGTAATTTTGTGCTAAGGACTGTGAGGAACTTTGTTCTCCAACTGATTAAATGAGTTCTTTTAAGTAATCTTTACCAGAGTAACTTAGCAAATATTTTACTCAGAGATAAGGAGAGAAGTTAATACACACCAAACCATTTATCTTCCAATTAAATATAAATTCTGAATTGCGGGATTAAATTAAGGAGTGTCCATTCTCTTTTCCTGTAAAAAAATTTTTTAAACGTTTATTTATTATTGAGAGACAGAGAGAGACAAAGCACAAGCATGGGAGGGGCAGAGAGAGGGGGAGACACAGAATCTGAAGCAGGCTGCAGCCTCTGAGCTGTCAGCACAGAGCCTGACACAGGGCTTGAATTTACCAACCATGAGATCATGACCTGAGCTGAAGTCGGAGGCTTAACCGACTGAGCCACCCAGGTGCCCCTCCATTCTCTTTTTTCTCCCTAAAATGGATTTTATATCTGACTGCTAAAACCTGCAGATCTACTAAATGGGTTTTATATTTGACTGCTAAAACCTGCAGACCAACCTGCAGGTCTAATGTCTGGCATTAAGACAAGAACTCCTTGTCAGTAACCAAGGACTCCGTTTTTCTCAATCATTTCCCAAAGGTTACAATTAAATTTTACCATTCTATTAAGAAATGAGGGTAGAAGTCTCATATATTGAGGTACTATCTGTACCTAGGGGAAGCATTTGGTTAACTATGTCATTCCACCATTCTGTTGGCATGCTAGGATATAACTGCCGGCAGATGGAAAAAGGATGGACATGCTTTGGGCATTGGTTTTAATATGCCATTCCCAATCTCCCTTCTTCATTTACTTAAAGAAAACACTAAGTGAAAGTGATTGTATGAAGGGAAGCTGACATTCAGGTCTGAAAACTGGGAGAGCAGATGGGTGCCGAGGGCCTGTTAAGGTGAAGGAGGGAGTGTTTATAGGCTGTTGTTGAGATAAAAGGCTCAAAGGAAACCTTAGCTTTACCTATAATCAGTTAGAGTGTTCTACAAGGAAACTCATGTGTGCGTTACCTTAAGTTAAAATTTTAATCAAAAGAGAGAAGATTCACATATTCAGTTTTCCAATATTAGTAATAATGGTTAGCATGCTGGTACTGGCTTCCTGTCCTCCTTCTAACTATATCCATCAGGCCTCATATTATTAACATTTTCATAATGTTTTCCCTGGCCTATATTAGGCAGACACCACATATCTGTTAAATGGAAGAACTGGGCAGTATTGTGGCAGAGAGGTCAGATTTATGAGCTGTGGAGTCAGCCTACCAAGGTGAATCTTGACACTTCTATCTGTCTTGAGAAGTTCTTACCCTCTCAGTTTCTGGATTGGTAAAATGGGAATAAGATTGGTATCTGTCTTAAGGATGGTAGGAGAATTGTATGAACATAGACCATAAAGCTCATAGGAGAGTGGATAGTGCATTCTATCTTTAATAGTGCATGTTCTATATAGCAATGTTCCAATAACACTGTTAATTGGCAGTGTTTTCTCTTAGTGGCTCATAAAGTTATGGTGCAGCTTACAGTTGAAGATATCCTAGACTGGATGAAATACACTATTTTAGGCCCTGGGCTACAGCCATCCTATACCCACAGCACCAAGTCAGTGTTGCATGGGAAGATAGCGGTAAAAACATTTATGTAAAATACAACCCCATTATTGTCCAAATGTCTTCTTTAGAGTCCCATTAATAATTGGTTATACATTATGTGTGGACTTGGAATATAATATAATAAAAATCCAACAATCATTTAAAACTTCCAAAAACCTATTCAGTGCCAAATTTCATCCATCCTCACAATTATTTTTGTATTTCTTGCTTAACCTATTTATCTGTTCTACATACCAACTAGGGGGAAATATGTGTAGCCTGGGCAAACCCAAATAGGATTATAAGCTATGAAATAAGATCAGTTCCCACAGGTGAAAGAGCTAAATCCTCTAAGTATTAGTTATTGGGTAAGTTTTGCCAAAGGAAAAGACCATTTGAAAACCTAACCCAACCTTTAACTCCTTCAGGATAGGTCCATTTCTTTGAGAATCCTCTCTTTATTTTTACCTGTGGTTCCAGAAGTATAAATGTATAAGGCAGGACTGGAAAAAGTGACTTCAGACCTCCACGACTCTGGAATAGGTTCTGTTGACACTTCATCCACTTTGTCCAGTAAAGATTCAACCCCATCCGTGTTAGAAGTTCTGCTCACATAATAGATGGACACATTATCTTTTTTCAGGCTTGGTAGCACCTCTTCCACAGCTTCTTGTAGTTCTTAATAAGGAAAAAAAAAATCCAAACACATTAAATTAGTCCACTTTAAAAAGTTCTATTAGTATAACAAGCCTCACAGTAATTATGTTTTTGGCATAATTTTTGCTGAACTGTGTAGACATGACAAGTGGAGCTTATAGTCACGTGATATTAAACATGGAATTTGCTACATGTGAAAAATATCACAAGATTTCAAAGTTTGAGGGAAGGCTAGGTTTTAATGGTTTCATAAGCGGCAGATAGTTGGTTGAAATCTGTACAAATGGACACGTGGATAAAAACCAAGATATATAAGCATATAACTTATAAGTATGTCTGGTATACATCTCAAAATACTCCAGAAATGAATTTGGTTATTCCTAATATATGTGTCCCCTAGTGATGAAAAAGAAAAAAAGACAATTTTAAGGTAGGAGACGAGGAATGAAAACAAGGCAGCCATGCTAACTAAGATGATAGAAGTGAACTTTATATAATATATGTGTGTGTGTGTATATATATATACACACACACACACAC